CCCACCACTGATAGATACATACATACATACATACATACATACATACATACATACATACATACATACATACATACATCCCTGACCCGTATCAAATCTGATGCAGCTAAAATAAATAGTTTAGTTAATACATTGTTCACAAAATAAAGGGCAGATTATTAAAAAAACATTTTGTAATACACTATATTTTCCTTTAAAAATTCAAAGGGACTTGTACAGTATAGATTACCTGTTACCACATTTTGATCAAACAATTTATTTATTTGTGCCAGTATTAGAGGATTAGGTTTTCCCACACTAATCATTACATACTTCAATTTAAATCTAACTTTTCTTTAAAAATTGAAGTAAATTATACCAGAAACCAGAAAGATAAAATCCTACCTTAGCCATGAAAGCCAGCTGGGTGACTTTGGGCTAGTCACTCTCTCTCAGCCCAACTTCTCTCACAAAGTTATTGTGGAGAAAATAGGAGGAGGAAGGTGTTTTGGATATGTGCACTGTGAGTTATTTGTAAGAATAATAACAATATTTTGTTTGTTTAATTAATTGATTTATGTTGCCATATGCCCTATAAGGTGAATCTTGGAAGCTATAAGGTGATTCTAGAATACAAATAGATAAACAAATAAAATAATTTGACTTAATTTAGTAAATGAAATAGAGATCTTATTGGAACTTCTTCAGACTGTTGGCAAACAATACAATACAATAGCAGAGTTGGAAGGGACTTTGGAGGTCTTCTAGTCCAACCTCCTGCCTAGGCAGGAAACCCTATACCGTTTCAGACAACTGGCTATCCAACATCTTCTTAAAGACTTCCAGTGTTGGGGCATTCACAACTTCTGGAGGCAAGCTATTCCACTGATTAAACTGTTCTAACTGTCAGGAAATTTCTCCTCAGTTCTAAATTGTTTCTCTCCTTACCCTCAGGTGCCTTGGAGAATACTCTCTCTTCTTTCTGGCAACCCCTAAGATATTGGAACACTGCTATCATGTCTCCCCTAGTCCTTCTTTTCATTAAACTAGACATACCCAGTTCCTGCAACCGTTCTTC